AACAGAGTGGGAGAAGAGAGGCATTTCCCTGGTCCTACCCCAGGCTGGGGGGGGAGGCAGTCATGTGGCCAAGCTGGTCCCTCTTCTCCGCCCCCCCACGTCCTCTCTCACTAGTTGCCCCATGTCATGATTCTATGAAGACTGTAAGACAGAATGGAGAACGCTATCCCTGGCTGTAGTACATGGCTACATCTAGACTGGCATGATTTTCTGGAAATGCTTTTAACGGAAAAGTTTTCCGTTAAAAGCATTTTCAGAAAAGAGCGTCTAGATTGGCAGGACGCTTTTCCGCAATTATGGCTGGAAAAGCAAACAACAAAAGGGAGTGAAAAGGTGAACACCAAGCCCATTGCTTATACCTACAGGCTACCTTTACATTGGCATGACTTTCAAGAAATGCTTTTAACGGAAAGGTTTTCCGTTAAAAGCATTTTCAGAAAAGCGCATCTAGATTGTCAGGCCACTTTTCTGCAAAAGTACTTTTTGCGGAAAAGCGTCCGTGGCCAATCTAGACGCGCTTTTCCGCAAAAAAGCCCCGATCGCCATTTTCGCAATCGGGGCTTTTTTGCGGAAAAGAAATCTCTGCTGTCTACACTGGTCCTTTTGCGCAAAAGTCTTTTGGAAAAAGACTTTTGCCCGAATGGGAGCAGCATAGTATTTCCGCAAAAAGCACTGATTTCTTACAGTAGGAAGTCAGTGCTTTTGCGGAAATTCAAGTGGCCAGTGTAGACAGCTGGCAAGTTTTTCCAGAAAAGCGGCTGATTTTCCGGAAAAACTGGCCAGTCTAGACACAGCCTATTTGTTCTTTCCAGAAGCAACTGATCCAGACTCAAGCAGGCCAGGTGAGCAGTGCCAGGCCCACTTCTCAGAGGTCTGCACACACTTCAGAGAGAAAACAGAAAGCAACAGACACCCACAGAAAATAAAAAGCCTGAGGGAAGTGGGTGCAACTCCAATAAAAGTCACCAAGCCAAATACAGCAAAGCCATATGTGATGGTTTGAATGAGTTTGGGTGGAAGCTTATCATATAATGTGTGTAAGTGATAAAGAAGTATAATTTACATGGATTTCTCATGCAGAGGATGTGCAAGAGGAGGGTCACTCACACTGAGGTGGTAGACAAGGCGAAGAGCTGGAAAACTAACTAATGGGGGAATGTAAGAAAGTCTGGGGTGTGTGGAGTTGAGGGTAAGGGCTAGTTTACAACTTCTGGCTTGCTGTTAATACAATAATAATAATTAATAATTAATTAATAGTTAATGTTGGGGAAGGATTGGGGGCTCACTCAACTTGACAGCATTTCTCCCTAGATGTAACATCCTAATAACCTTTGGATACTGCACCCAATCAATTCCATAATTGCAGGGAATGTTCTGGCATTGTTGGACAGAATCCTACTGATTTGGGGTAAAATCAGAAAAGTGGTAGGCATGACAGGGGACACATAATGCCCCTGCCATCTGCTTAGCCAAGCCACAGTTTCAAGCACCTCTGTAATTGTCTGTAGATTAAAGAATGGGTTGATGGCCCCAATTAACACTTTTCAGGATAACAGGACTGCATCTCATCTTTGCCCATCCTCCCAAAAGAGTTAAACATGTTGACACCCTGAATGATTTATCCCCCAGAAAGAAGAGAAATAATAATGGTGATGGAATGGGGGGGGGGCACACAGATACCCTGGCATGGGGGTGGCAGGGAATGGAGGGCCCTGATATGGGGAGGTAGGGAGAAGGGGATACAGACATATTGAGAATATGGGAACCCTGCTATGGGGAGAAGGAGAGCATTGGGGAATGGGGGAACACACAGAATCACACAGCATGGGGGATAATGGGGATCTCTAAAATGGAGGGAATGGGGGCACAGAGAACTTCTGGTATATGGAAAAATACGGGGATGACAGGGTGAGAATGGGGTGGGAAGGGGAAATATGAGCCATAAGGGAACAAAAGGGATATGGAGGAAAGTGGGGAATGGGGACACATTTACAAAATGTGTGCCCTCAGTAATTAATTATTTAGAATAACCTAGAGGCTCTGCCAGCGACTGGAGTCCCATTTATTAGGCACTGTACATAGAATCATAGAAACATCGGACTGGAAGGGACCTTTAGAGGTCACCTAGCCCTATCCCAGGCACTCATGGCAGAGCCAAGTATTATCTCTAGACCACCCCTGAGAGGTGTTTTGTAATACACACATTAGGAGAGTGTCCCTGACCATAGAGCACACAATTTGTCTAAATAGACAAAGGGTGGAAGGAAGGAAGTAGGAGTCTACCCAATTTACTGGGAGGAAAGTGGCACCAAATGACTTGCCCAAAGTTACAGCCCTGTGCAGATATCAAGTCTGTATCTGCATCTGCAGCTGATCTGCAGACATGGCCCGTGGATATTTATCCACATCCACAAATACAGGGTGGGTATCTGCAGATTTGCAGGGCTCTGCCTAAAGTCAACCAGGAAGTCTGTGAACAGCTGGGAACTGAATCCCAGTCTAGAAGTGGATTGTGCCCAAGAAAAGCTGGTGATACCACCTGCATCAGTGGTCATCAATCAGTAGATCTGAATCTATTGCTAGATCTTGGAGCCTTTGACAGGTGATCCAGACTGGTCTGGCCAAGAGGCCATTAAGTGCCAGCACTTCAGCTGCCTCCTCTCCCACTGCTGTGCACCTCCTGCTCTTTGCCTTGGAGCTGCCCCCAAGAGCCTCCTGCTTGCTATGCATGGGAGGGGAAGCAGAAGAGGGGAGTGCTGATGTCAAGATGTCATCTTCCCTCCACTCTTCTGCCCAGTTTCCAGAGAGTGAGCAGGGTGAGGCCTTGGAGAAGGGGAAGAGTGGAGCAGGGCCTTGAAAAAGGGGTGGGAGAGGCGGTGGGCCAAGGGTATTTAGGTTTGAGGTGGCTCCTGGATGGGCTTAAATTGAACAAGTGATCTTGTGCTTTAAAAGGTTGGAGACCCCTACACCACATGGTTTGCTGGCCTCTGAGGTGCTGCAGGACTGTGTGTTGTTTCTTAAGGCTCCTAAGTGCCAGCTCGGTGCCTTGCGGCCACCAGCTTTCCCCTTTCCCTGCCTGCCTGCTAGGGGTGCGCGCTGCCCTGGGTTTGCACCCCCACCGGGGTGCGCGCTCCTCCGCTCTAGAGCCGCTTTGCAGAGCCCCAGGTCCCTGGCCCACGGGGAGGCGTTTGCCTATTGACTTGGATGTCAGCTGTGACCTACTTGCTGGCTAACGGGAAGCGCCCGGCCGGCAGCAACCCGTAGCACGCCTCTTCCTCGTGCCACGTCTTGCAGCCACCACAGCTGCTGCCAGTGGCCCGGTCTGTCCCGGGCAGGAGCCTGGTTGGCGGCGTGTCGAGTCAAACGCCCTTCCCTCCGCTGGGGAGAAGCCCCGCAGCCCAAGAGAGCCCGGCGCTTTCCCTTCCCTTGCAGCACACGCGTCCCACTGCCTGCAAAACACACCGCCAGCTGGAGCCAACCCCCCTGTCCCTAATGGGCATAGTCCCGCGTCGCCTGCTTGGCACGATTCCGGGCTCAGCCCCTGCTCCGGGTATCTCGCAGGCGGGGGGGGAGGGCAGGGGGGCTTGGCACGCCTCAGATCCGCCTCGCTACACTGCAGCTGAAATTCCTCTGATGAACGTGCGGGGCTGGGGGGGGAATTGGAAGAGCCCCCCCCCCCCTCTCTCCCCTCCGCTTTTCGCCTGGTTTTCATGCAGCAGTACCAGGCTAGAGGTCTCCACCGAGCTGCAGGAACAGGAACTAGCTGCCTGGGAAGGTTCCTCTTTCTTTTGTGCATCACTCAGCTATCCCGGTCAAAAAAAAAAAAAAAAGCCACCCACCACCCCTGCAGTCTCCAGGCTCCTAGTTAATCCATCCAGAGCCGCCCCTCCGGACAGTCGGACCGGGAGCAGAGGGGGAAGGAAAGGGACGCCTGCCACGTCTCAACCCCCCGCCCCCTTTGGTCCCCCCCCTTCCAAGGGCAGATGGAGACAGAGCGAGGTGATGCAAGAGCGGAGCGCGCACTTGGAGCCTGGTACCAGCAGCAGCAGCACAGTCAGTACTGGCCAATCTCAGCCCTGCAGCCTGGCCCCCGGCCCCGGCCCGCCTCTGCAAGCGGAGCCTTGATCCACTAGAGTGCACCCCCCTCTCCCGTTAGTCCTTAACGCTCCCGCTGCAGCAGTAGCCCCTCTGTGCCCCCAGCCTCTCGTGGGCTCCCGGCTGTGGAGTTTTTTGTTTGCTTGGCTGGTTTTGAATGCTGCGTGTCCTTCTGGGCGGCGGGTGCTAAATGCTGAGCGCTGACAGGATGGAGGAGTTTCCAAGTGAGGAAGAGGAGCCCTGGTACGATCAGCAGGACCTGGAGCAGGGTAAGGAAAGGTGTGAACCCACACCCGAGCCGGGGGGACCTTTGTGAAGTGCAGCCTGCAGACATGCTGCAGAGAGGGGAAGGAGGGGGGAAGCAAACCCTCGTTCTATAGGAAAAAATGGTCTGCTCTTGTTTTGATCCCTCATCAACTCTGGTGCCTGTAAGATACCAGGCTCTGTTAGGAACGCTAAATGTAATCATAGCTGGGTTGCTTAATAGCTCATGAGAAGAGCCAATGTAAAGTTCAAACCTTGGCTAAAGTGAGGCAAATACTGCTCAGTAGGCAGGGATGTCAAATCTAGTGGAACTCCATACACTACAGTGGAGTTATACTGGTCTCAACCTGGCAAGGGCTGAATCCAGACCAGAAAGTTATAAAACTTGGAGTAATCTAAGGCTTAAACAGTCTAAGTTAGAGAGAGGCAGGAAAGGCAGTTCAAACAAAAATCAGAAATGACATGCAGTAAATTGAGGACATATGGCAAATTTTCCAAAAGTTCCTGCAAGATTTAGGAGCCTACATACAATGGGACTTGGGCTCCTTAGCCATGCAGAGGCTTTTGAAGATTTTACTTATCTGCTTCATAGGCAGGAGAGGACTGGGAGGGGAAGAAACTGCAAACGGTTTTGTTTTGTTTTGTTTTTTAAGAGAAATCTAACTTCAGTTCTGTAATTTTGTTTTAAACAATAGTCTGTGTTCATAATTCCATCTGGATATTTGCATTTATTACATGCAGTGTTCCTCCTAAAGACTGGGGTGAATACGGTTAGTGGCATTTAGTGTTTCAGGGCTTTTTTTTTTTTTCTCTTATCTTCGTATGCTGGGTCAAACTTCAGTAAATAAATATCTGGAAAAACTGCTCTCCATTTCATAGCATAGATCCAGTGAACTTAACTGGCAATCTATTATTGATGAAAACCAATTAAACTAAAATAAAGTCACCTATGTAATTGTTTATATTCTATGCATAGATTTGGGTGTTTAATAGTTAACTGCAAATAAATAGGTGATAGGATTGTCCAGATGCATCTGTATTGCTACTGTCAGCCATAACTTCTGTAGGTTGTGTTGTAATCTAAAGTTTTCACAACTTGAGCTGAAGGGTAGGGACTGAGGAATTAACAACGAAGAAGATAGGGAGCATTCCGAGTCAGTTTCCAACTCTGCTTTCTCAGCTGATGGAAGAGAAATATTGCTGGAAAGCAGACCCTGTTTCACAAAGTATGATGAGTGAACTAAACTGGGACGGGGATGGCCCAGACTAAACAACTGAATAAACACTATGGGTTATTGAATATCCAAGATTTCCTTTATTGGAGATTTCTTCCCATAGCACTTAAGGGATGGAGGCCCTGCTATGGAACAGTGATGCAAATGAAAGAATTAATGTAAAAAGCTTAGAACAATGAGGAGTTTGTTTACTTTAGCCTTGTAATTGGCCTCAGTTTCATGAGTCAGCATTTCTAAAGCAGGCCAGATTCACATCTCCATCGTGCTGGTGTAAATCCTAAAGTAACTTCACTGATGCCAGGTTTACATCCACATAACTGAGATCAGAATCCAGCCTTCGGTTTTTATGGGATGGAAGAAATCAATGTTCATTTGAAGGGTTTGTAGTCTCCCATGAAAGTGAGGGCTAGACACAATATTTAGACGTAAACTAACTCTGAAGGGGAATCAGAGAGGCCTTTAATTGAAATCAATGAAATGGTACTGCAGGGTAATTACAACAGTAATTAATCTGCATGATGCACAAAGCTCTTCAATAAGGACGCTGCTATTACAGCCTTTATGCTACAGCCTAATAACATATGGTAAAATCTTCAATGACAATGTGCTGATCATGGTGCTGTTAGTTTTTAGGAAGTGACAGGATGGGGGGGGGGGATATTAGGTGTTATGCATTACTAATAGGATCAGAATGCTAACTGCCCAAGGGACCAGAAGAAAAGGCAGTGCTTGGCAGAGAGTGAGATTATAAAGGGATATTCTAGGAGACCCAGTTATTTGGGCAAGGTCTGGGAGGGCTAAAGCGTGAGGAGGAAGCTGGATGAACCAGTTGGTTGCTGGGATTTCATCACGATTTAGCAATGTCATCAAATATTTATTACATTTATACCCAAAACTGTTTGCTAAGCAACGGGCAGCTTAACTAGGAGCTCTGTGATGCTTATGTTTATTAACTACTTCTGTGCCAATAAGCATGTAGTGTAAATCATAACACCATTGCTGTTCTAGCTACCTTCTTCTTTTCCCCCATGGCCTGTGATGCCCTCGGTACTTTACAAATGTGACTGAAATGATGGGGGGATTTTCTCTCAAAAATAGATCATTTTCTTTCTGAACCACTCTAATTATCAACCAGGTGCCATGGGATGCCAATGTATCAGAAGATTCAGTCTCTACCCCAATGGAGCTTGTAGCACGTGTGTACTTCACAAACAGACAAAATAGATCTGATGCATTTAGCTGGTTTCCTTGCAGGATGGTCTAAGGTGCTGTGCTAAAGTCACCGTCCCCCCCAGAGGTATAGCTTCAATTTCCAGCCATGAAACCTGACAACTTGTAAAGTCCAACACCAGAAGTGAGATGGATCAGAGGATCTAATTGGACTGTTTCATTCCTATGTTTCTGGAGATGCCTTAGTGTTTGTTTGTTTTTTTAAAAGAAAAGAGCAATGCTGACAAAACAATGCTACTGATTTCTGGATTGTGCCTCTCCAATTCCAGCAATTTTTCCTTTAAAATGGTCTTAACACAAACAATATTCCATAAGAGAATACACATAGTATGAGCTCAATTTAGATACAGCATCATTTTAGATGGGCTGGGGAAAGGCATATTAGGACAGGTGTTTTTGTGACTAAGAAAGTGATAACACAAGAGTGTATGGATAATTAAGTCCCAGAGAACTATGAGCCTTTCCCCAGCAGCTGGAAAAATGATGTGGTTGAAGTGACCTCGTGCTCCATGGAATGTCCGGGCTGAGAGAGCTCCAGCGCATAAGGATCAGCTGGAATTAGGAAATGCAACCTGGAGAGAATAAAGGGAGCCTTTTTCCATTCATTAAAATAGCATTTGCATTAAAAAACAACACACACACACTCAAAATAAATTGAATTCAAACTAAATTGACACTGGATCCACCCGCTCTTTCTACTTGCCGTGTAGGGTTCCTTCACCTCCCAAACTCCCTTTTTGCTCTCCCTGCTCCTTAGAGACCTGCAGCTCCCCCAGTGGACTCCCTGGTCATTCTCTCCCAGCTTCCCTTTTCCCAGAGAGAGGCCCACTGACATGAAGGGCCACTCGCATGGCCCATTCATTAGCCGACGTTGCCTATCACTGCCCTATATATTGCTGTGGACCCAGACATCCCTTATCCAGACCCCATCCCACCTCCCTCCTTTCAGGGCATGCCTTATCCTGCCTTCCTAATGCCAGAGCCTGCTCCATCCCTGGGGAACTGTTGTTGCCCCCCCCCAGTGACTACCTGAGTGGGCGCTGGGGGAGGGAGGATGGAACTTGAACACCCCACACCCAAATGCCTTATCCACTAGGCCACTCCAGAACAGATCAGAGTCTTAAATCAGAGTCTGCATTAACTAACAAACATAGCTCCTGCTGTGCCTAGGAGACCCCACCTTCAGTTTTCTGTCATAGTCTGCATTAAAATTTGGAGGGCCATAAAGCTGCAACTAGCAATCAGTTCATTCAGGCACGAACTAATCACTGTACTGTGATGCACAGGCCATTCCCACGTCCCACCCCTCCTGATGCAACACCCCTGGCTGCACAGCTTTGGAGAGAAGTGGCACTGTGATCACCTGATACCCTGGACTGCAGTGGTTGTTTCCCCCAAAGCCACACGGTTGGAAGGACACAAGATCACTCTGCAGTATCTGAGGCTTTTATTTATTTATAAGTATGACACTGAGCGTGTCTTTGGGTAATGGAACATTTTCAGTGACTAATTGCTGAGCCACTCGGAAATCAGATGCTTAAAAAAAAAAAAACAAGCACAGCACACAGGAAGGCCAGCTAAGATGTGGAAAAGAGAGTACATGTAGCTCTGCATCTCTGCTGGGCACAATTGAGATTCTCCAAACCTGAAAAGTTCCCCGAATTAAAACCCTCAAGTCAGCTGTAAAAGGCAGGACACTGGGGAGAAGAAGGACCTCACATAGAATTTGCTTAGGAATCTCCTTTCATAATCCCACACCATCTGCTTAAACTCAGGCACATATTTCCAGATGTGGGAGGCAGTGGAATAGGAGAAGAAAACCAGATGGATTCTCTACATCTCCAGCCCAGCTGACCAGAGGTATTTCTTCTTGGCTAAGCTGTGTCTGGAGGATTTGCTGTATAAACTCCAAAGGACATTCCAGCCATAGCAGGCTATATTACTGCTGGGTCTAGGAAAGTCAGAGCCTAAGAACAACCAACTATTTAGCAACAGCCCAGTCAATCTGATGCACCGTTTTCCCACAGACATGACTTTAGTTCTTCATGCTTGTCTCGGTACCAGAGTTGGCCGGTGACAGGGGGATGCATTTTATCCAATGTGGCAGGCTGAGGGGGAAGCCAGACAGAAGGCAAAAAGCCTAATCATGCTCCCACTAAGAAGAGAGGTTCCAGGTTGACTTTCTACTTGAGGTGGGGATCAGGCCCCAAGTTAGAAACAAGGCAAGCTGGCCAAGAAAAAAAAACTAATTCTAATTACAACATTTAATTAATATTTAAACAAATATTACAATGAAAATGTGGGTTGAATCCTGCTAAGTTCTCATTAGTGATCAGATCCTTTACACTGAATGGGACAGATATTTACCATGTGTACACCTCACTTGTTCACTTTCAGAGTTCAGCCGCCTCCATTGCTACCAGAGTTTTAAATGAGGAAGGGTGGGGGAAGCAAGATCTCTTCCCTCACCCCCTCATCTCCATTTGGAAGCCCCTCAGCATACATTTATTTCTGACTCGTGGGACTTAATGCAGCTTTGT